ACGCCGAGAGGTGCTTACATCCACGTCCACACCGTTTAGCCTGGGGGGCTAACACGGCGCTGGGATCCCCCACGGCCCCACCCCTCAGTGGGGGAGTTGCTATATAAGGCGGTGAGCCGGAGGGCTCGGGGTTCAGTGTTCAGCCTTAACCAGCAAAGCAAGAAGACCTGCTAGATAGGCCCTGGGACTCCCCTGGATCGCTGTCCTTCTCAGGACTGACCAGGGCAAGCCAGTGGCGTGGCCCCAAGAGCCCAGAGCCGATGCTCTTGTAAGAGCCGGTCTGGGGACTCAGGGTGCCGTAATCCCAGCTTAACCAGGGCTGGGTTAGCTAGCCTCCCCTAGCCCGGTTGTGGAGGACCTAGGAGTAGGCTAGCTGTGACAGATTGTTGATCTCCCTGTTAGACAGGTGAAGGGGCCGATACCCCTTCGAGTGTTGTACATCTCGGCCTGTTATGTACTTTGTGCTTAATAAATAAGTGTGCCTCCAACTACGTCGTCCAAGTCTCCTGGAACCTACTACAAGGGCACCACGGGGTGACCAGCCCCACCCCAACCAGCCCCACCCCGCCCCACCCCCCACCCAGCCCCTCCCCACCCTCCCTCCCCACCCAGCCCCTCCCCACCCTCCCCTCCCCACCCAGCCCCTCCCTCCCCACCCTCCCCTCCCAGCCCCTCCACTCCCCACCCCACCCTCCCCTCCCCACCCAGCCCCTCCCCACCCCACCCAGCCCCTCCCTCCCCACCCAGCCCCTCCCCACCCTCCCCTCTCCACCCAGCCCCACCCCTCCCACCCCCAACTGAATCACCTTAAGGCTGGGCATGTTGAAATAAACACGAGGCAAAAAGATCCGCTTTTTTCTTTTCAAGACTTCCATTTTATGAATGGAGCCACTCTCTCCCAGTTCCATTATATAAATGAAACATCGCCCGTCTCCTCATTGGCCCGAGTCGCGGCGGTGCTCCCCCCACTAACCCCCCCCCCCCTCTCTACCAACCCCAACCCACCGCTCCCATTTGGCTCGGGGGCGCCGACCATGGGAGGGCTCTAGTGGGGCGGGACCATGCACGACAGACAGACAAATAATCCCTGGTGGGCAGTGTGGAACTGTTGTTTCTACCTGTATAAAGATTCTGATTCTAGTTGCTGGATCGATTCACTAAAATATGACCACGACTCGGATCGTGTTAGCATCGCATTCAACTTAACGTGAAATCGAATCGCAATTACACAATCGATCTAAAAAATCGACAAAAACCACCCCCTCCCAACTCATCGACGTCTCTAGAGGAATCGGAATCGATGCTTCAGGCGCGCCTCGCGCACTAATCGATTCGGCTTTGAGCTCCCTGCTCACCATTGTTGACGAAGCCGCCTTGCTTCCTGCGAATCCTCGTTGCCGTGAGTCCCCCCCCCTCACCTAGCCGTCTTTGTCTTCCTCACCCCCCGAGAGCGACAGACAAAGAAGCCCCCCCCCCCCCCGCCAAAAGGCCGAGGCGTTTAAACCACCCCCTGAGGCGAGGCCGCGAGAGACACCGACCCTCGGATAGAATCCGTACCGGCCGAGGCGCGAGGTGCTCGGTAGGCCGGCCTAGGCCGATGCCAGTCACACGCGGTCGGCGGCGGTGGGAGGGAGATTAAACACAACTTTAATAACGTTTCATTTAATATCTACTCCTATTTATATTTGTGTCTTTAAGTCGCGACGTTGAGTTGGTGGTGGTGGGGGAGTTTAAGCGGCTAGCGACTGATGGTGTGGTGAGAGTGAGGCGCTGTGTGCGAGTGACCCACACGCGTGCACTGCTGCTCTCTACACACACACAGCTTGCTGCTGTTTGTAGACTATCTGTTGAGTGATTTGTTTACTTCTGCTGTACGCTGCCCCTCCCGTCGTGGCTTGTGCGCGCGTTGTGTGTTGTTGTAACGTTCTGACCCCAGTGGCCCCCGACCGGACATCTGTGATGAAAAAGCTTCAGAGCTTTTCGGATTCCACCTGGAGTATAAATTCAGTTTCTGGTACTCAGAGACCCATACAGAGACCCACAGAGGACCATACTCAATCTTATAGGGACCCACAGATCCATACATAGAATCACAGACCTATACTCAGAGACCCATACATAGACCCATTGAGACCCATACTTAGAACCACAGAGACCCATATTCAGAGACCCATGCATAGACCCACAGCGAGCCAGAGAGACCCATACTCGGAGACCCAAACACAAAGCCCCATACACAGACCCACAGAGACCCATATAGACTCACAGAGACCTGAGAACCAGAGACCTACAGAGTCCCATAGTAACCCACACAGACCCATACAGACCCCCACTGTGATTGTGATTGGTGGTTAATGGTTGTAGTTTGTAAGTGTTAAGTGTGGGGAGTGGTTGCGCGCGCTGCGTCGCGGCTCACGGCCAACATCAGTGGCGAGTGATATCAGAACCGGGTCCTGTGCCTTCCCTAGGTCGACTCGGACTCAAATCAGAACCTGGTGCGGTGTAAAAATCAGCGCTGGGGAGACAAAGGCGGCCGGGCGTGGTGCTGGTCACCCACCCCCTCGTGTGCCACAGTGGCGGCCTTGACAGGCGCTGCTGCTCCTCCAGCCTGGGTGGGCTACACGGGGAGCTTTGTCACATTGTAGAGACAAAGCTCCCCCGTGTAGCCTCCGATATACTCTAGGGGCAAGTGCTGTTCGCGAGTTCTAGCACCTATCAAGGCCGGCACTGTGGCACACGAGAGAGTGGGTGGCCAGTACAATACCCGGCCGCCTTTGTCTCCCTGGTGGCGATGTTCACTACACACCACTGCACCAGGTACTCATTTCAGGCTGAGTCGACCGAGGTGAGGCTCAGTACCGGTTCAGATAATCGTCATCAGCGTTGGCCTTGAGCTAGAATCGAACTCAGTTCGCCGGGTTCTTAGTGCAGCGTGATAACCACTACACTACCGCTTCCCACTCCGTGTACACAAGCACATGGACACACACATGGACACACACGTGTACACACAGACACGTGTACACAGACACGTGTACACGCACAGACATGTGGACACACACAGACACGTGGGCACACACAGACATGTATACACACAGACACCTCTACACACAAACACGTCTACACACAGTCACGTGTACACCATCATTGACATTCCCTCTGGCCCTGCTCCCATGCCTCTGCTGTGTTCCACAGCACCAGCAACGCGTGCAGGGAAGCTGTCTCCAGCCCTGACCCACGATGGTCCGAGGCCCCAACATCTCCGTGGAACAACATCAACAACATAAACAACAACCACATCAACAACAAATACAGCAGCAGTGGCGGCAGAACCGACTGTGGGTCTCTGTGTGAGCATTTAGGTCTCTTTGTGAGTCTATGTGTCTCTGTGTAAGTCTATGGGTCTCTGTGTAAGTCTATGGATCTTTGTGTCATGAGTCTATGGGTCTCTGTCTTAGTCTATGGGTCTCTGTGTGAGTAAATTTATGGGTCTCTGAGTCTGTCTGGTTTGGTGTGTGTGTATGGGTCTCTGTGTGAGTGTGGATCTCAGTGTGTGTCTATGGGTCTATGTGATGAGTCTATGGGGCTGTGTGAGTGAGTCTGTGTGTCTGTGTGGTGAGTCTGTGTCTGAGTGAATCTATAAAAGTGCTAATGCATTAACTCTTTCAAGTTCACAGTGCAGCAAACTTGCCACATTTTTGTTGATAGACAGAACGCGCACTACAGGAGGATTTGTATTGAATCAGACACAGCGAGTACTGGTCTGGTCACAAACAAACTCACGTCAAATTCGTCCGAGTCGCTGTACGTGTATTGCTTTATATAGACCCACTTTATGGAAAACAGTAATACTCAAGACAATAACACGTGCTGTGTGATTTTTTTACCTTCAATTTTTTATTGAACATTTTTTATCCTAATCAAAAACGAGCAGCCCACACGGCCATTGTACCTGACTGTCCGTCCCTTACTCTCTCTCCAGCCATCCAGCCAGCAAAATGTATTTTTCTAATGTAGTTTGCTAGTATGATCTGAGTATGACACGGTAGCGTGATGACACATCCCACTCATTTGTGTGGAATTCCCACCCTGGGGTGAATGGTGGATTAGGACGGAGGGGGGGGGGTGACGTCAGCACCACGCAGGAACCCGGCTTAAATAATAAATAAATTCCAGCACTCTCGACTCCGCTACCCCTCACAAGCCACACCAAGCATCTGGAGGTCATAAAAACATTAAACAACAAACTTCGGGGCAAAGAGGGATTAGCGACTATCTGGGAAATCTTCAGGTTGGTAGATGACCATATGACATGACCTCCCCGAACGTTTTGGACCGTTCACAAACAAATCTCCAGAGCACAGAGCAGAGACAAACGGACGTTACAACTCACGTTTTCTTTAACGGTAAAAAGTTGAAACTCTGCAAAAAGAACAAATCGACGTTATAGACTGCAGGCTATATTAGTGGTTTTATTATTATTATTTTTTTTCACCCTTATTCAACTCATATTATTTTGTATTGTATCTTTCTATCCATGTAACTTCACCAAGAGAACCAAGGAATGTGAATTCTGGCAGTCAAGAAAGTGAGGGCTTGGATATATCTACAGCCTCGGGATATCAAAATATAACTCAAAATAAAACACCGATCCCTGGTGACACAGACTTATAACAAAGCTTGGAAAACCCTCGGAATAATGGTGGTAACAACGAGGGGCATTACGAATCTTGGTAAAACATAAGCCAAATAATAACCACGAGATATTTGACCAGGGGTAACGCATAAGAGATACAAGAAAATAGGTTAAACACACCATACTAGATAATATGTATTCCATGAAATCAGAACCTCCCCGGCCACCTTTGTCTTCCAACAATTTGACACAAACACATGGTAGCCATAAAATACGTATGAAGGGTGTCTGGCCACGAGATAACAAACACTATGAAGGGGGGGGGGGGGAATGCAAACAAGCAGGGAAGAGGGGGGGGTGTAATCAGGTGCGGCCGCGGAGAGAGGACGGTGACAGAGGGAATCTGTTTTTAAATCCTTTATATTAAGTTCGCTTGCTTGCTTACGACCGTGCAAATCTTTCGGTAGTTTTTTAACCCACTTCCCGTGATCCAATCGAGCTGACATTTTCCACACAGACTCGTTGTGCGTAACAATTAATGTTCGTGAAATTTTTTTTCCAAAATTTTACACTTTTTAGGACAAAAATATTATATTTAATTACCAATTGCTTAATGGTGCAATGCAATCATCTGACCCATAGGTGGCAGCCATCTCAAGCCAGAGGACGAGAGGACTCTAGCCGCCACGCATATCTTAAACAACTAAGCTGGTTTGGTCTTCTGCGTGCGTGTCTGGACGTTTATTTATTTATTTACGCGCTCCCGCGATTGGACAAAACCTAGACAGCTCATTTTGATTCGCTAAAAATATATTAAACAGCCGGAAGAGAGCCAAAGCTCACTTAGATTCGATAAAAATAAATATATTAACCTGCCGGAGGCGAGCGTCTCTTCGGTCAACATTTCACCTACTTTCACGCAACACCATAATCGGAGTGATGATCGCAACGGAAAATCTACTGTGGGTACAGTGTTGCTGTTGCACCCGCCGAACACTGCGTCCTGGTGGCGATATCTCGCCAACGAAGAACGTCCGTGGGTGCAACCAAGAACCCTCCACTAATTAGATAGCCACATACATTTTACATTCCAGAACTTTCTATTAAATCTGTTCATTATTCTTGCTGGCGTTCGGTTCGATGGCCCAGTGGCCAAAACTGACCACTCTTTCGGATGCAGCTCCATCAATATTGCGCCCATTCCCTTCAACCCACTGTGCTTAATCTTGCATTGGGCCTATACAAGTGTGTGCAAAGTGGCCCAGCACAGTTCACGGCCCTACATATTACAAAACCAGCGCTCGATAAATTCTGTCGGTGTCGCCTTCTATCTAATTGGACAAATAAATTATCCCTTACATTTCATTGGCTGAAAGTGGGCTGCGTGCTTTTGGCCGGCAGCACGCGTCAGTCAGTCAGTCGTCGATTACAAATAAAGCAGAAGCACACAGAACGTAAGCGGTGTGTCATAGCATAGGTCTGCCAAGGTCTGCACCGCAGTGCTGCAGTGCACTGTGGCCGCAGACCCTGCGCTGTGTGAGTGTGCTGTGTATGCAAGTGTGCGAATGGTTGTTACGGTCATATACGTTTATTTATGTTACAAAATGCCTGCTGTTGCGTGCTGCGATTAGTCGAGTCCCCAAACAACTTTACCTTACGAGTAGCCAGGGCTCGCTATACGGTGAGTCTTCGCGGACTGAGCTGCCAGCTTCACCTGCCGGGACCACGGCCAGTTGCGTAGCGCCCCCTACAGTTTCTGGACTTTCGCCCATGGCTCAATACCCCCATGGGGCAACGGAGCTCACTGTTTCATGGGTACAATGGTTACTTTTCGCTTCATCTGGCTTATTACCATTTAGATGTATTGACGTTGATCACGTCCCCATGGACGCCATAACACCGACAAATAACATTTTCAAAATAAAAAAACAGGTGGCCCCATAGCGGATCTGTGTGTGTACATACAGACGGAGGATGCAGGGGCCAACCTGTGTGCGACCGGAACGGTGCCATTGCTGACCAATGTCACTGTGGCTGGCGCACACGCTCACGCACACCGGAGCTGTGTTTTTGCAATGCAAGGGCATGGTGGATGGTGGAGCGCATATCGATGCTGTGTTACGAATTAAATAAAAAAAACCGCTGCATCTGTAAGTGTGCCAGTGTGCGCTTATGGTGGATAGTGGTGCGTGCGGAAGTGAGGGTCATCTTTGGGTAAAAAATACATTCTGAACGCGCAAGAACATAGCTGGCGGTCACGTAGGGACTTGGTAGCGAGCAGGGTAGAGGCACTGCGTGTATTATATCTGTCGTCACAACGTTTGTGCGTCAGTCGGGGGGACTTTATCTGCCAGTACCGGTGCGCAACAGTACAGCGAGATATATTCTACAGTGCTTCAGATGTCACGGACTGAGAGGCAACGCGGTTTACATAGGCTTTCTGTCTAACGCGTCACGTTTGTGTACGCACACTTCCGGATATCTCACCACAGCCACCACGATTACTACAAGCACTGGTCGTGGAACACGGAGAGGGTGCCTAAGCTGCTCAACTATTTCATACTCACTCTCACCTAGGATAATGCTTCATCCAAATCCCTATAGCAAGCGAAACAGAGACACACGAGAGGAGCTCGAGGATGCTTTGCACAAAAACGAAATCGTACATGCAACTCCTGCCGCCACCGAGCCCAAAGAGGTCAAAGATCGTCGCCGCAATCGCCGCCGAATGAAGCGATTTCGGTTGAATAAGCCAAAGTGAGAGCTTTACTTGGGGAATGCTATCGATGAAGGGCGCATAGCAACCAACGCTGGCAACGACGCAATGGATCAACCAAGTCATATGCAGGATGTCCTCATGGACGTACACGATCATGTCATTTCTCCCGGCGACTTCCACGTGGACCTTGAAGAAGGTAAGCAAGAAGAAGACGACCCTAACTTTGTCATTGCTCGAGCCGCAGCGCGGGAGGATCCACAACTTACACTAGGCCTTCAGGAGTTGCGTCGCCTAAAGCGACGTGCTGAGCAATCTCTGTTTCAACAAAATGCTGAGCGAGCGCATCGTGCTGCGCTGGAGGCCCAGCGTCGTTCCAGAATGACTGCCGAGCGACTACTGGATGAACGATATCGTCGCAGTATCTCGGAAGCTGAGCGGCGCCGAAGGTTGACGGAACAGCAGCAAGACGAAGAACGACGTCGCCACAATGTGCTGGAAGCAGAGCGCCGCGGGAGGTTGACGGAAGAACAGCAGGAGGAAGCGCGTCGACGCCATGCTGAGCTGGAAGCTGAACGTCTCGCCAGGATGACGGAAGAACAACTAGAGGAGATGCGACAGCGCCAGTCCCAACGGCAAATGGAGAGGACAGAAAACGAAGTCGAGGAGACGCTGGAACAGCGACGCGTTCAACGGCGAACCAAGCGCTACAAGGCCGCCCTCGCCAACCAAGACGAGTTTGAAGTCTCCAGAGTTTCGGGGAAGAATATCGCAGGAAGACACAAACTACCAGAGCCAACTTCGGTTTGCTCAAAGTGTCGAGCATGGAAGTGGCCGGGCGAGTCTTCGATCACATGCTGCATTGACGGCAAGGTCGCTCTTCCGCCACTCCAGCCTGCACCGGCCATTCTACGCAAGTGGTACCAAGATGAAGAGTTTCTGAAGCAGATACGCATGTACAATCAAGTGTTTGCATTTACGTCGCTTGGTGCGTCTTTAAGCAATCGCCGCTTCAACCCAGTAGCAGAAGATCAAAGTGTCCAAGGGCAGAGAGGCGTGTATACATACCGTATCCAAGGAACGATGGGCCATTTCTTGGGATCTTTGTTACCATATACGGATCAAGCCGGTCAGACAACGAAGCCCAAGTTTGCACAGATTTACGTGTACGATCCAGATGTGGAAGCACGAGTGGCTCGCCGACGGGATTTTTTGTGGCCTGAACAGAGTCGCGCTGTTGGACTTGGAGCACATGTTGGAGACGTGCAACGTGTTTGCGCTAGTCAGCGGATGAGAAGCATGATCGAAGCCGGCGACAACCCCGTCAACGTCGTGTTTCGCCTGCGTGCAAACAACTATGCGGGACCCCGCACGCACAATCTCCCCACCGCCACGGAGGTTGCTGCTGTGTTGGTTGATGACGGCAACGCGGCGAATAACCGAGACTTTCTTCTCTTCCCACGGTCAGGTGGCCTTTTGCGACTGTTCGAAACCCATTCGATCTACGATTCACTTCAATGTCCTCTCTTGCTCCCTCTCGGGGAACTGGGTTGGACGTACACGGATGAGTACATGAACGGCACTACGTATCGGAACAAGACGCGAATGGCGCTTCGCGGGACCTGACGACGAGGAGGAAGACGGAGTGTACACGAAGAATATCGTGTATCGCCAGATATTTGAATAAGTTGCATTCTATATTTCAATTACTTGCATTCTTGAATATTGTCGATTGAGCGTCTCATAAAAATACATATAACCTCACAAAAATAAACATTCAACAATCACCAAAACATGTATATTGTGTCCAGCCACCTTCAACTCCCCACCAACCAAGCATATACACACCGCCCGCTTCGCGGGCGGCAACTGCTAGTAAAGGATTTATAGTGAAAAACTTAGTTTTTACGGGTTATACTTTTTTATCTCGCAAGAGACGCGCAAAGAGGGGAGAGAATTTCACATTTAAGCACGGACACAGATCATGCAATTCAGTCTTGCAAAGGAGCAGGCTGCGGGGCTTGACCTCGACATTAGAAATGGGTGTGGTGTCTCGCAGAGAACAGGGGCGAGGTGATGCTCGGTGTTGAGTTCGGCATGGACCGACAGAGTATCTCTGAAAATTTATTCTAAAATTTTCCTGATGTTTTGAGTCTCTTGCAAAGTCAAGGATTGCGATAAGTTGTATTGTACTAAGCTTTCACAGTTGTTTAAGAGGTGTGCAAATACAATGTACAGGTTTTGAGATTGAGTGCCAACAGACGAGCAGCTGCAGCTCGAGTTGAACCGACGAGCAACGCCAAGCAATCAACCTCGAGAAAGGGCGGAAAGTGCCAAGTGTCGACTAAGCCAGCATCACAGAGAACCAGCTGCACGCGCAATTGTGCGCCGCCAGAGAGCACAGAGCAGGAGAGAAAGCACACAGCAGCGCCACCAGCTCCATCGAGCAAGGGTGTCTGCCACCAGCGAACGAACTGCGAGCGCATCGTTCATCGCCAGAGAGCACGGGGCAGGAGAGAGCGCGTGCAACCAGCTCATCCAGCAGTGGAAGGAGCCGGCAGCTGCCAGCAGACACGCCCCAAGCGAGAGGGAGCAAGGAAGCCGTTTGTATGACACGCCCACCCTCACACGCTCACTGCTCCGCAGGGAACAAACAAAATTTTTGGTACAAGGAATGCCCAACCTCGGTGTCTGCTTTACGCAAAGAATTGATAAAAGAAGACACACGCACACAACATGCATATCGGGTCTAATAAGATTGTTCCAAAAAGTTATATTTGTGTTTCTAGAAGGGTTGCCATTCCAAGGTGGTGCGTTAAATATAAACTGATCGTGAAAAGCATACCTGCCCATTGAGTTACGTGGATACGGTCGTTTAGAAGTATTTTAGTCATTCGTTTTCGTTAATTGCATAATCTTGCCAATGAATTAATTGACGTATACTTTTTCCTTCGGGAAATGTTTATTGCCGTTCGTATGAATATCGTCACATGCATGTTTAAGGACATTTTCCTATCGCCGTATATGCTCGCGTTACTGAGAAATTAATCGAATGTTCTGTTACCCAGTTAACGTAATCATTGAGGGTTAAATGTACGGATCAATGAGGAGAACATCTCCAGGGGTACTGTGTTGACAATTCCAAGCATAAGAGTTTGCATATTAGAGTGTTATGTTTTTGGTTAGAAATTAAAATGGCTTAACACAAAAGAGTATGAGTGGTGCCTTCCTAATTTCATGCATAATAATCTCAATTATGAGAACTGTATCCTGCGGTGAGATTTGAATTTGGAGACCTGACATAAACACTCAGACATAATCAGTAAATGTTAAAGCGAGAATAATTGTATTACCCTGATTGATAATACAACCCTTGATAACGAAGCCGAGCTTAATTTAGCATAATTACATCACACTTGCATAACTTTATACAGTTCATTGTATTATCCCGATTGATAATGCGACCCTAGACAACGAAGCTAAGCCTAATTATAATTACTGCACACATTAGCATAATCACATACATTTGCATAACTTAATACATTCACACCTCCCTAATTATAACAATTCATGCGGGTAATCACATAAATTAGCATAATTTCGGATAATTACATATTTTTTCATTTAATATTTATTAGTTTTTATTAATTTTTCAAGACCCGGCATATACAACACTGTGATGTCACCACTTGCTTGCCCGCTCGCCAAGAAGCCAGGCAGGTAGCCAGGAATCCGGTCAGCAAAACTTTGTGAGCCTTGGTTTAAGAAATGCCTGGCCCTGCTGCTGATGAGACACTGAATGTCGAAACCTGCCCAGTGTTGCTCGCATTGAACCAAATGCCGCTTCAATTAGGCACTCCGAGACGGCCGTGCCTGCGACTGATGGGATGAGTTAAACGTTACGTAGTGTGTATTGTCTTTAATGTTTCATGTGGAGATCAGGGATTTGCGAAGGGGTGGGGGGGGTTGATGATAGTAATGATGATGGTGATGAGTGCGATGAAGGTGGTAGTGGTAGTAATAATGTTGAAATGGTGACGAGGATGATGGTGGTGTTCGTGGCAGTGTTCGTGGTGATTGTGGTGATGATTGTGATTATTGTGATGATAGTGATCATGGTAGTGGTAATGATGATGGTGGTGATGGTGATAATGATGATGATCGTGGTGATGATGGTGATAATGGTGGTGGTGGTGATGATGATTATGATGATGGATGTGATTATAGGTGTTGATAGTGATGATGGTGGTTAATGGTGGTGATGATGGGGATAATATTGATGATAGTGATGATGGGTTGGTGGTAATGATGATGATGGTGAATCGTAGGGATGAGGAGGTGTGACGCGAATGCGCACTGCAGGTGAAGGAGCAGCCACATGGACTCTGGGGCTGCGCTGAATCCCCACTCAGATTTCATTCAAATCCCTCAAACTTCCGCACTGGCGATTTGTACTGCACTGGCGACATCGCTCACGTACACCAACCTGAACCTCACCCTCCCTCCTCACCTTCCCCTTATGCTGACCTCACCCGTCCCTTAATTTTCACCTCACCCTCCATTCCACCCTCTCCTCACCATCCCCCTTCTCCGTTTCTTGGATTTCTATCTCTCCTCATCCTCAGGATGCACGACTCAAATCCACGATCTCCAATCGATCATTACAACACCTCACCCACATCCCAGGGTAGAGAGGCTGCAAGAATCTCCGCCAAACCTCGTGGATCACCTCCATGGAGTCGGCACGGTAAAACGCCAGGAACCCCACCTCCCAGTGCAGGTGAAGCCCGATTCTGCGGGGGGAGGGGGCCCCCCTCACCAACAGTGCAGTCTTCACTCCACCATGAACCACTGAGAAGCCGTCGTCACATTTCTCTAAACACCAGGACACGTCACTCCCTCCCAGCAGCTGTGCAGCACCACCACTCCCTTTCCGTGGGATCGTCCCGTACGCGACTCCAACCCTCCACCGCCGCGCGTCCCCCACGTCCACCTCCCAGTAGTGGTGCCCCGACGAGAAGCTCTCACAGCACAGGGCTTGTGGACAGCCATCAAACCGGTGTGGGTGATCGGGGCGACCCTGGGAGGCACCGGTCAGCATCATTGTCCTGAGATCCGAGGAGATCTTTAGTTTGTTATGAGCTGAGTTTGTGTCCAGAGTCAGTGAACATCCGTCTGTGACAACAGCGATGAAAACATCACTAGAGAACACCATCATCACCATTAGACACCATCACCACCATCAACATCACCGTCACCAACCATCATCTTCACCATCAACAATTACATCACAGACATCACCATCACCAAGCATCCTCGCCATCAATACCATCAATGACAACAATATAAACATCACTACTATCATCAACACTATGAACATCAACAACATCACTATCACAAATAAGCCACATCACAACCATCATCACCATATCACAAACAATCACCACCATCACCACCATCACTACCATTACCACTATCCCCATCACCACCATCTTCATCACTATCACCAACATCACCAACACGTCATTATAACCATCGCAACGACCATCAAAATCATCACCACCATCACTACCATGACCACCATAATCAATATCATCATCTCTACGACCATTAGAGCCATCAGCAAAACCATCACATCCATTACCACCTATATTATCACCAATGTCACCATCATTACCATCACCGCGACCGTCACTGCCATCCCATGAAGAACACCATCACCAATGCCATCAGCATTCCCATCACTCACATTATCACTAACAGCATCATTATCACCATCCTCATCACGACCACTATCAGCATCATTATGACCATTACCAGCATCAGGAACTCATTTGAGGTTTAAACTGCCTAACAGAGGCCCAGGACTGGATCAGATATCACCTGCCACTGATGTTAGCCATGGCAGGTAATCAAACTCAAGGGACTGGGTTCGTAGTGCAGTGTGCTACCGCCCCCTCCCACTCATACACATTCACAGGCACATACTGCATCTCAACATCACAATTACCCCTGACTCAGTTCAGTAGGGTCCTGGAATGGGATGTGAACACAGATTAAGATCCCCGGTGTAGTCTTCCAGACTATTGGGACAAGTGCTGTCCGTGAGCGTCTATGAAGGCTGGCACGACACACGACGGGCTGGGTGGCCAGCACTACGCCTGGCCACCTTTGTCTCCCTAGTGGTGATGTTTACACAAAACACCAGGTAATCATTTGAGGCTGAGTCGACCTCGTGCACACACATGGGGATAATTTTTTGTCAAGATCACCCAATCACCCATGATTCACACTGAAGTACTCACACAGGCGTTTGACTGCAGTTGTTTCCAGGAATTTAAGCGAGGCAATGTCCTCTTGGCAGGGAGCTAAGGGTGGAGCTGCTGTAACCCTCCCTGTCCTGTGAAAGCAGAGCAGACATGGCCACTGTCTCACATAGAGCATCGTCACTCACAGGATCATCAAAGCTCCATCTCATAGACAATCATCACATCATCATCACAATTGGAATCATCACAGTTCCATCTCATCTAGAATCATCACACAAAGCATAACTCATCACAACTTTTCATAACATCACTACACAGCATTACTATCACCACACATAGAATCATCACACGCAACATCACCACACACAGCATCACCACACACAGCATCACCACACGCAGTTTCACCACACAGCATCCCCATACACAACCAGTGTCTCACTGCCCACGCCCCACACTCAGTCCCATGTTGTCGTGTGTCGAGCCATGAGTGAAAGTCGTCTTTTACCTGCGCGTCTCCTCCAGGTGCCCCTGTGGGAGAGAGAGAGAGATGCGTTATTGTGACTCTACTTTGATTTCCTTGCATTCAATGGAGTTCACACTGCAAAACTGTGGGTGGAATTTAAACCCCAAAGTCTTGGCTTATGACCCCATGATCACTAACACAGACTTACGGGCCAAATATTTCAGAGTGAAACTGGTTGATGGTCAACTATAAACTACTATTTTTTTCCAGGTAAAGCCCACGGAGCTATATAGCTCTTTTTCAGAAGCGACCTGGCCACAAATGATAGCTCAACAAAGTGGTTCATCACGTGGATATGTATAACAGCCCAATCCTCTAAACGCACGTTTCCAAATGTGGAGGGAAAAACTGGAGGACCCGGATAAAAGCCATGCGACCACGGAGAGAAACATGCAAACTCCAAATGTATAGTGATGTCCCCGACCTCCGGTATACTAGGTGACGTAGTTACCATCTCGCCACCCCCATGAGGGCCAACACTGAATTGCAGGGCAAATATGTCAGAGTGAGACCGGTTGATATTGATCTGTGTTGAGTAATTTGGGACTTTAAATTTCCAGCGTTACCAATGCACATGGTGCAGGCCTTGTAGAAGTCATGTTCAAGACACAATGATATCATTAATAAGTGTATGAGACCTCGTATTTATTTAGCTTCCATAATAGGAACAAGAGGAGGTCCACAAAGTAAGAAGCAGCATCGCGGCATCATGAGATTTGGCAATAGCTTGGGGAGGCCTTCATCCATCAGTGGATAGATCATGGCTGATGATGAATACGGTGTACATTGTTGTTGCTGTTGTTGTAGGGTTGATTTAAAAAGTGAAATTCCAATACCATTTAGTTTATATTCACAATTAAACAAACTTAATGGGAATCTGTTAAAGGACGAGAGAGATAATTAATTTAACTGAGAAAATATGAGCTGGGCTCCACATGGCAGTTACTGGAGCTGCGATGCGAGTCCATGAGTGGAGCTGTGTTCTCAAGCCCAGTGGATGCGAACTCTCATTCAGGAGTCTCTCTCTGCTGCTGCTGCTGGTGAGAGGGCTCTGTGCCAATAGCGACACTGGAGACTCATCGCTCACCTGCAGGAACGCGAGCGAGTCCCTCTCCTGCGCTAGGGCCTGCAGGCGAGTGGCTGCTGCCTGCAGCTCGCTGATGTCGCGCTGGTAGTGAGCGATCTTCTTCTCGATCTGGGACAGCAGCTTGCGCCCTTTCTGCTCCGCTTGCTCTAAAGCCGCCTTCTCCTCTGCATCCAACGCTGCTCTCGCGCTGGCGAATCTGACCGAGATTGAGGCCTTTTCATCTGTCATGGATCCCTGCAAAGAGAAACAAATGCCATCTCTGTTCATTAAATGTCTGCTCCTTTGTGAAATGACATTCAGGTCGGTGTGACCCGAGTGCAACTCTGAAGGTGTCCAGACAGTGATACGAGTCTGCAGCACTGAGGCCTCCTTCTTCCTCTGCGTCTTATAACGCCGCTGTGCATTTTCACTACAACACGATTCGCCATAACTTGCGGGGGCTGTGAGGCAATGAAATTATAAATACCATCATGAGTACATTTAACGTTTCTGCCATTCTCATTCGCAAGGCTATCAGGGCGAGGCTTTGTTTACCTTAGCATGAAGCCAAGGGAAGTCTGTAATTTGCCTTCAAAAAGTAGAGCCTTAATGAAATGGGAAGTTAGGCTAATTCCTCTCTAAATTAATGTTTTGAATGTGAGAGAAAACCACATGTATACTGCCACCTGGCCACCATAAATCCTGATTGGTTTCAGTAAGATGGTGTACAACAGTCTGTGTGTGATCCACCAACTCTGCCACCAGAGTATTGGATAAGAGGTACGTACCACCTCATCTGACCAATATAGTAAACAGGCGTTGAAGTGGTAAGTTGTATGGAGATATGGGAATGTGGAATTTCAACCACTGATTGAGCGTCCTGATTATTGAGGCGCATTGACCGTTGTGTCTTTAGTCCAATGATGTGTTCGGAGCCAATGGAAGTCCACGTGAATGATGTGAGATGTCCTACATCACAAACCCTACTCAGGGTGGAGTCACGGGGTCACAGAGTCCGGCCCAGACGCGGTACCTGCACGTCCCTGCGAGCGGCCTCCATCCGCCTCACGGACTCCTCCGCCTCCTTCCTCTTCTCCTCCACCCCCCGCGTCTCCTCTCCCACTTGTTTCTGTGAGAGACGTCACCAGGGGAGACTCCACTCTGAACGTCCCCTCTCAACCCTGCTCCACACGGACCCCTCCACAGTGACGGTCCCATCTCGAGGCTGCAGCGGCCCCTCTCAACCCCGCTCCACACACGGACCCCTCCACAGTGATAGGGGGAGTAGCCCCGGTCCAGCGATGGAGGCTGGGGGAGCAAGCGTTGCAGGGAACTGATTTCACGAGAAGCTCAAACATGCGCAGGGCTCCCTAAGTAGTGGGTGGGGCTACATATGTAGTGGGTTGGACTGCCTGAGCAGTGGGCGGTGCTACCTAAGTAGTGGGCGCAGCTACCTAAGTAGCGGACGGGTCTACCTGTATAGCTGGTGGGGCTATCTGAGCAGTGGGGGGGGGGGGGGGGCTATCTGCGTAGTGGGTGGGGCTACCTGAGCAGTGGGCGGAGCTTCCTAAGTAGTGGGCGCAGCTACCTGAGTAGTGGGTGGAGCTTCCTGAGTAGTGGGTGGAGCTGCCTTAGCAGTGGGCAGAGCTACCTGTGTAGTGGTTGAGGCTGCCTGAGTAGTGGGCGGTGCTGAGTAGTGTGCGGGGCTACTGGAGTAGTGGGTGGAAAAGGCACCGGAGTGGCGAGATGTTATCTGCCTTGCCTGCTATACAGGAAGTCTTGGGTTCGAGCCCGCGCCTGATGCCTGTATAAATGCAGTTTGCATGTCTCTCTATCCGGGTCCTCCGGTTTTTCTGTCGACGTTAAGGAATATGTATTTAGAGTATTTGGCTGCCATACATTTAGACCTGATAAGCCACTTCGTTGAGCTGTCATTTGTGGCCAGGTTGCCTATGAAAAAGAGTTTCATAGCTCATTGAGCTTCACTTGGTAAAATAAAAAATAGTTTTTGCTCCTCTCTACCACAAACCACTTTTTGTATTCAAACCACAGTCTATGCACTCATGTAATTTTAAGAACACATTGTACGCATTAAAGTCCTTCAGTTTTATAAAATATACTAAGAGTACATTCATAAATTTGCCATACAACAGGATTTATAATAACTTTCGGTTGTTTTATTTCTGCACTGACAACCTCAGCATACTTTATATTAAAACAATCTTGTTAAAATGTGAAGGAACAATGGGCAGCTGCGAGAGGAATTATATTTAGTTGGATGTTATTGTTCAGTTCATACTGGGAAATGATGATTTAACGCAGGAGAGGCTCCCGCTCACACACGCAGACTGTCTCACCTTCCGTGTCTTGTGCTCATCCTCCAGTGTAGCCACATCGTGACCCTTGTGGTCTCCTGCGATGGTGCAGGTTGTGCAGACCAAGCGCTTGTCCTGACGGCAGTAAAACTTGATCTCCTCTCTGTGCTTCTTGCATCTGCGTTCTTCAGGATTCGTGGCTAGAGCCACCAGAATGTGGTCCCTGAACTTCGGATTCTCCTGATGAGGCTTTACATGAGTCGCACAGTAGGACGTATCACACCTGAGGCAGGTCTTGGAGGCAGCAGTCGTGCCATCGTTGCAGAAGTCACACAAGGCCACGGTAGCCAATTCATCTGCGGCACTGCGCTGCTCCACCAGGTTGGCGAGCGTCACGCTCTTGTTCAGCTTGGGTCTCTGAGGGAAGGTCACTCGGCACTGTGGGCAGGAGAAGAACTCGGCCACATCCCAAGCGCCCTCCACGCACTCGAGGCAGAACGAGTGGCCGCAGCTGAGCGTGCAGGGGCAGCGGAAGGCGTCCAGGCAGATGGGGCAGGTCAACTCCCCTGGAGCCTCGCTACCACTGGGAGCCGCACTCGCCATGGCCCTGTGGCTCCACTCAGAGACGGGCGCTGGTTGTAGCTCAGGCAGTCGCTGGCTGTAGCTCAGGCAGTCGCTGACTGTAGCTCAGATAGTCTATGACTGTAGCTCAGGCAGCCTCTGTCTGAAACTCAGGCAATCGCTGGCTCCGTCTGAGACGCTAAACTAGGAACAAGCTACGTAAATAGGTGACAAGGAAGCAGGAAGTCTTTTCGTTTGATTTGCATGTCACGAGGCGTGACCTGGAATGTGTTGACGTAGGAGATAGTACAGACGTCTCCGCTCCAGGGGTGGCTTAAAAAAATACTAGGATCACCTCGTCTCAAATCCTTATCCTCACACCCCTCATCACAACTCTACTCACCTCCCCTCAACTCACCTCAACTCATCTGACCTCCCCTCAACTCACTACAATAGCATTTATATTGGAACAGATATAGCGAGTACTCGCATGGCAATGTAAACGTTTTATATCCGTTTCACACCCAAACTCACGTCAAATTAGTCAACGTCGCTGTACGTGTATTGCTTTTCATAGACTGTAGGTTAAAGTCACTTTGTATAAAGAGTAATACTCAATACAATAACACGTGTTGTGTGTGTTTTTTTTTTACCTTTGATTTTTTAAAAAAGTTTTCTTTCAGGACAGCATAATGACGTAGGCTTTCGCGACCAATATTATTCATAATAAACGTTTTTGGTTAGATCGCGTTATTTATAAATGTGTCGTAACCATCCACCACCCGACACGGCCAATCAGCAAAAAAGTGTCACGTTGACAAAAGACAAATAGTTCACTGCTTTAGCCCACCAGTGTTTTCGCTTCAACACACCGGTGGGCTAAAGCAGTGAACACCAAAGTTGTGCATCCTTTGTCATACTGCCCCCTGGCGCACACATTGGAGAATTGCAGTAGCAGTTATTTTAGTCGCCCTCCATCCACTTCTGACAACTCAGCGTTTTCAACACAATTGACCCAACTTTCCCCGGCTGATGGAACATTATACATTTGAATTTTTTTGCTGTGGTTTTCACACCTGATGATGATTACTTGTATTGCAGTCGAAACCTCGTGAGAATTTTATTGTTTTCTATTTTTATTATTTTATTGTTTGCCTTCTACGTGAGTTTACCAAAAGAACCAAGCATATGAATCCCTGCAGTCACGAAAGCTTTAAATCAAATTTGATGGAACATTGTTAGCGACTCCCGCTATCACCATTTCTGTTGGGTCCACCGTCTCGATAATTATAGGTCACACATGTGCTAATGTAGTCCTTGCTGGAACAGCGATCGGTCAGTCCCCGACATTCAATAATTGTAGGAATGATTTTTGGTCCACTCTCACCACCATTTGTGTGTCCGATAGTGTTAATCTGCGGGTCGTCACATTTGACGGAGCAATTACAATTGGTGAGCCGGCCCATGCCGCTAGTATTTGTTTGGGGTACCACAATGATATTAACATTTGTGTGCCTGGAGGTACAGTCACGGGCTTGCTGACCAACGTCTGTACTGTCACCCCCGTCTCGGAACATTTCTCCACTGGCCACAGGAAAAAAAAATGCGAGATCCCGAAGAATTTTTTATACAACTTTGGTCAGTGAGTATTCGGAGAGGTATATATTTTTTTACAGAAATCGGTTCCCATCAGACATGAAACTTGTGTCTATAATCCCCATGTTACCCCCATTTGCCACTGCATATGTACTGGTGACTGATGTGAAGCAGTGACTACTGGGCAGTAACATGTCAAATATCAAGTTTCGAAATAAGTGGCCTTTGTCCCCCGTATCGATAAACACGCTTACCTCTCACCCCCCCTATCGAGCCCACGATCACTGAGGTACCCGCGGCTGCTATAGCTCGCAGGGCTAGCTTTCCCCACTGGTTGCTGGACTCGGACCACCGGTGGAATAGGAAGTCCTGGCCTTTCCCCGCGGATTTTGTAACCATGTCATCACCAACCCCTTCCGATAAAGGTGGTACATGCGACATGGTGATGGTGGCGGTGAGTGACTATGAGTCCCGAGGATGCGTGAGGTGGATTAACTAGCTGGGTGTCTGGGGTGTCGTGGCTTGCCTGGTGTTGTAGTGTAGCAGCCGCCGATGAAGAGGTGGATGCTGTCATTGTTGCTGGCAGAGGGTCACGATGTGATCTGGTGAGAGGGGCCTGCTGTTCAGCACATCCGTGCTGGTGAGAGGGGCCTGCTGTTCAGCACACCCGTGCTGGTGAGAAGATGGCGCCGATGATGGCAGCCTCAGCCAGTCGGTGCGCCCTGTTTTGTCTTGTTTTGTCTGTTAATCCAGTGTTCTGCCGAGATTTTCGGAGTTCTATAACAAGAGACGAACTTCTAAACATCAGGGAAACAACTCCTGTGGATTTATTTCCCACTTTTCTGCTTCCAGCGGCAGAATTAGTGGGCATTCTAGTCAAAGCCGCGCTCGGCTTTACTCAAGCAGAAACGCCGCCCAAGGGGTAAACAGTCGGGGGCTCTAGTGCAGCTACACAGACGCGGGATCCGAACAGTGCTTCCAAGCTTTTTCCTCTCAAACGTACGTTCACTGTGCAACAAAATGGACGAACTTCAGCTACTGATGGTGACAAACAGAAACTTTATTCATCTTCTATTTTGTGCTTCACGGAGACATGGCTGTGTGATTTGATCCCGGACACTGCATTACAACTGGCAGGCTTCCAATTTGTAAGATCGGATCGGGAGATAGCACTCTCCGGCAAGACGAAAGGCGGTGGTATTTGTATTTACATTAATAGTGACTGGTGTGTAGATGTCACAGTGATTCTGCAACATTGTTCTCCGCTCTTTAGATCATTTTTTATAAACTGTAAACCTTTCTACTCGCCTCGCGAGATCACGTCGCTCATTATGGTCGGAGTTTATTTGCCGCCAGGTCCTCAGGTTAAAGAGGCCCAACGCATGCTCGTCGACTAGATTCTGATTGTGGAGCGAGCAAATCCAGATTCGCTGGTTATCGTACTTGGCGACTTTAACAAAGGTAATCTCAGCCACGAACTCCCCAAATACAGACAATTTATTAAATGCCCTACCAAAGAAGGGAACACTATGGATCACTGTTACACTACAGTCAGTAGAGCCTACCACACCGTCCCCAGAGCAGCACTGGGACACTCTGACCATGCCATGGTCCACCTAATTCCTGCATACATGCAGAAACTAAAGCTCTGTAAACCTGCTGTGAGGACATCTAAACAGTGGACCAGTGAGGCTATAGAGGATTTGCGGGTGTGCTTGGACTGTACTGACTGGGATATGTTCACAACTACTACCAATAGTCTGGATGAACTCACAGAGGCTGTGACGTCGTAAATCAGCTTCTGTGAGGACTGCTGTATTCCAACACGCACCAAGGTGAACTTCAACAACAACAAGCCATGGTTCTCAGCAAAGCTCAGAAGGTTGAGGTTGGAAAAGGAGGAAGCGTTTAGGAGTGGGGATAGAGACAGATTCAAGGAGTCGAAGAACAGGTTTAGCAAGGCGGTGAGAGAGGCTAAACGACTGTACTCAGAGAGACTAAAACACCATTTCTCTGCTAACAACTCTGCTTCTGTCTGGAGAGGGCTCAGGCAGATCACCAACTACAAGCCCAGAGCCCCCTACACCACTAATGACCCCCGCCTGGCCAACGACCTGAACGAGTTCTACTGCAGATTTGAAAGACAATTGGACTGTCCTGAACTACCCCTTCCCACCTAAGAGGCCCCATCCCGCCCCCCACTACAGAGACGACTATCTCCATTCAGGAGAGAGAAGTTAACAGACTTTTCAAGAGGCAGAACCCACGCAAAGCAGCTGGGCCGGACTCTGTCTCTCCAGCCATCCTCAGGCACTGCGCGGACCAGCTGTCTCCAGTGTTCACCAACATCTTTAACACCTCCATGGAGACATGCCATGTTCCAGCCTATCTCAAGTCCTCCATCGTCATCCCTGTGCCCAAAAAGCCAAGGCCAACAGGACTAAATGATTACAGACCCATCGCCCTTACCTCTGTGGTAATGAAGTCTTTTGAGCGCCTGGTCCTGGCACACCTCAAAGCCATCACAGACCCTTTCCTGGACCCCCTTCAGTTTGCCTACAGAGCCAACAGGTCTGTGGATGACGCAGTTAACATGGCCCTCCACTTCACGGTACAGCATCTGGACTCCACAGCATCCTACGCCAGGATCCTGTTTGTGGACTTCAGCTGGCTTTTAACACCATCATCCCTGCCCTGCTTCAGGACAAGCTCTCCCTGCTGAACATGCCAGACTCCACCTGCAGGTGGATCACAGACTTCCTGTCTGACAGGAAGCAGTGCGTTAAGCTGGGAACACAAATTTCTGCCTCCAGGTCCATCAACACCGGATCTCCTCAGGGCTGCGTCCTATCCCCTCTGCTCTTCTCTCTGTACACCAACAGCTGCACCTCCAATCACCCGTCCGTCAAACTCTGAAAGTTTGCGGACGACACCACCCTCATTGGGCTCATCTCTGATGGGGATGAGTCTGACTATAGGTGGGAAGCTGACAACCTGGTCACCTGGTGTAGCCAGAACAACCTGGAGCTTAATGCTCTTAAGACCGTGGAGATGGTTGTGGACTTCAGGAAGAATACAGCCCCACTCACCCCCATCACCCTGTGCGACTCCCCAGTCAACAATGTGGAGTCCTTCCACTTCCTGGGCATTATTCTTTCCCAGGACCTCAAGTGGGAACTGAACATCAGCTCCGTTACCAAGAAGGCTAAACAGAGGATGTACTTCCTACGGCAGCTGAAGAAATTTAACCTGCCAAAGACAATGATGGTGTGCTTCTATACAGCCATCATTGAGTCCATCCTCACGTTCTCCATCACCATCTGGTACGCTGCTGCCACTGCCAAGGACAAGAGCAGACTGCAGCGTATCATCCGCACTGCTGAGAAGGTGATTGGCTGCAATCTACCAACCCTTGAGGACCTGCACACCTCGAGGACCCTGAGGCGAGCGAGGAAGATTTTGGCCGATTCCTCTCACCCTGGACACTCTCTTTTCCAGCTACTCCCCTCCGGCAGAAGGCTGCGGTCCATCAGGACCAAAACCTCACGTCATAAAAACAGTTTCTTCCCATCTGATGTTGGCCTCTTCAGCAAGGCCAAGGGCTTAAATGACTTTTACACTTACTTTAACATTTTATCTACAAA